TAGCATTTTTGCAGCTATGAATCGGTCAGAACTTGGGATTTTTTTTTTCTCTCAGTATGGGAGCCTCATGCAGTGTGTTTGATAACTAAACCTGGTGAAAACTTCAATCTTCAAATCTGTTAGGAAGTCCAGCATTTCTGGGAAGGTGGAGCACTTCTTTTTTCCTAAATTCATCAGTGTAAATGTATTTGTCACATGACTTGGATTCAACAGCTCATAATTTTCCTATGAAAAATCACTACAGTGTAAATTTCCTACTTATCTGTAGTGAAACAACATTTTCAATTACATTGATCAGTTTAATCCTTCCATATTCATATGTTTATGTGAGTGTGGTTTCTTGCTCTCTCCCATAGTTTATTTTCTTTATGCTGAAGCAGGCTGTCCTGTACATTCCCAACACATGAAGGATCTTGGCTTTTTTTGACAGGAAATCTATTGCACCACTTAGGTTTAATTAGAGCACAGTGTCATATGCTGAATTTACACATCAAAGCCTAGAAATAATGCAACAAATATGCTCTGATCCCAAATAACATTTGGGGATCTGTATTGAATTGGGATCTTTCACTGCATTTAGTGGGAATATGTGAAATACAGGATCAGGTTCTTGGGGTCAGTGGAACTGTACTGTAATGCTGTTCGTTAAATATTTTTATGTTCCCCTTTTTCTTTTTTTTCTTTTTTTAATTTTTATTTCAGGAAAGCTTAATTTGAGGTGTAGTATCCAGATCCCAACTTTATCTACACTCAGGTTTATGGAACGGGTCCATTTTTGTCTGATGCTTATTAATCTACATTTGTGCATATCACATGAAAGATTAAAAAGTCCCCTGTTCTGTATAGAGAATGCAAAAATGATAATGGCAAAAGCAGTTTAAGCTGGGGTTTTTATAGAGTTCATCCCTTATTTTCAAATACCTACTTTTCCCGTGGTGATTGAACTGCTGGAGTATTTTGAGGCACTACCCACAGGAGACAAGACTGTTTAAGAGCACAAGTGCCATGTATTCAGTGTGGCACTGGGTTTAACTGTGCAGTGCTGATGAGTGCCCAGCCGTTGCATGGGTCCCGTGGGGCAGCGTGCCTCAAGCATTCACCTTGAACGTGTCCAGTGTGCCAAAACAAAACTGAGAGCCAATCTGAAACACACGTTTTTATTGGGTTTGATGTTATTTGTTATTATATATTATTGCCCTGTCATTGGAAGTGTTCAAAGCCCTCTTGGGTCAGATGGGGCTTTGAGCAACCTGATCTATTGAAAGATGTCATCTAATGGACTAGATGATCTTTAAAGGTCCTTTCCAGCTCAAACCATTCTATGATTATATTTCTATTTTCAAAATAAAACATAGACTTGGAATCATCCTACCTCATTTAGGCTTGTAACTGCAGGATCTATGTTATAATTCTTGTTTTGCTACTCCTTCTGTGTTCAGTGGAGAGAAGGGCAGGGAGTAATTCAGCCTGTATATTATTTGAGTCACATTTTGGAGTTGCTTATCTTTCTTCTGGTTGGAAGGGGAGTGCAGGGATCTCTCTACTGACCATCGAGAGTGTAATCACCTCCTGTACTCAAATGCCAAAGTGAAATGAATCCAAACCAAAAAATGCATGGAGCTGATGCCCAGCATGGGTTTCATTGCAAAGAGAAAATTATATTTTTAGAGAAAAAAGATTGGAAGAAAACCAGAGTTGAACATTTTAAAGCCTGGTGGTATTGTGATCTGTATTTTAGGCTGAACTTTTTAGATAAAGCCATAGTTAGCACATCATTTGTGCTTGGAAAGTGAGCTAGTAATCGAACTAGTCAGACAGAAGCCATTTTGAAAAGTCAGCTCTTGTCTATATTTCTGAATTTTTGTATCACCTTTCTTTTCTTTTGACAGTATCAAATTCCTGTAGTGTGTGAGGCCAAATAGCTTTTAGTAAACAAATATGAAAAACAGAACTGGCATCAAACAAGCAGAATGAAAAGATTGCAGCAGTATAGAGCCAATTTACTGCCCTCACGATGGAGGAATGGTTTTCTAATTGTTTGTGAGAGCTAATGGAAACCATATTTTGGCTGTGAATAATTCCCAGGAGGGATCATTGTGAAGTCTTACCTCATCTCTTGTACTTTACTGACAGAACATTTCAAGTATTCAGAAGCACACACACCCTCTGAAGCTCAAAGCACAGAAAACCATTGGTCAGTTGTAGATACCAGAGTAAGATGGGACTCTTCAGGGGTGAATGGGCTTTGCTGGCACATCACTGACCTGTCCGAGGCCGGTGCAGATTTACCTTCGTTGTGGTATCTCAGTTGTAGGAGGAGTGGATAGCTGCCAGAGAGAAAAGGTTATGATGACAGAATCCATGAGCCATCTAATTAAGATTTCCTTACCCACAAGACATCATGATACTGCACTCAACTGTGTTCAGACAAAAGGGTGTTTGAGAACTTACTCCAGTGAACATCATCTGCTTCTGAGTTATCTGTAACTGAAAATTGGAAATGCCACTTTTTGCATTTTGTCCATGGAATCTCTCCTAAATGTTAGACCATTTCAGTCCCTAAAGTCTATATTCCAGACCTGAGTAATAACAACCAAATCAAAGTTTGTATCTTAAATGCTAAATTTGATCCACCTTTTGTCTTTCCCTCATGTGTGTTAGTTCTTCTTGCACTGGATGGAACGCTACCAGCACAATACAAATCAATAGCATTTCCAGTTGCATCACCCATTTATCCATCTTGGGAATGGCCTCTCTCTATTTTTCTTTCCAAGATCCCCTGAATAGGTAGTCATTAACCTATGATTAATTAAGGAAGTGACCAAGCTGAATCTTGTGCAGGTAGTTGACAAGCTGTCTTGTCTTAGCTCCAGTGGAAAGTCCTCACAACCATTATGGTGGTGTTTACAGAGCTTGGGGTCCATCAGCCTTTTTTTGGTTGGTAGGATTTTTGTAATGTGAATAACAGAATCAGGGTAACCAGCACCATACGTGGACCCCTTGGCTCATTGCAGTCGTAAAAAAATGTGACATGTTGGTACTGAACATCAAATTGGGATTTGTGTAACTTCTATGGGTGCTTTTCACTAGGGAGTTAGGCCCTGTGGTCAGCGCTTGTTTTGGAGCAGTTTGGTGGAAATCGATATACTCTGATACTCTGGGGAAAGGGCTTTTCTTGCTGAAAGTGTTGCTAAAGTGATTCTGAGTGAAGTCACGAACTGCACAGAACTCATTTCGGACGGAAGGATTTCGGATCAGTCGAAATAAGCAGGAAAGAGATTCTGACAGACGTTCTTTGAAGGTTTATGCCTATTAAGCCAGTTGTATATCTTAGAATTAGTTTTAATCATTTACATCGCTCATGAGATAGTAACCCTGTTAAGTTCTTCCTTAAGACAGTCATTTCTTTCCCTTGGAGGCTGGAAAAGCTCTTTCTGAAGTGTCACCAGAGCCTTTCCTAGGGGCTTCTATGGCACCCATCAGCTGTGACTCAGTGTTTCTGCAGGTCCTTAAAAAAAGGTGTTATAAAAGTGGCCTGTTGCTATCAGCTGAGCAGGTGGTGAGCTGAATCGTAGTGTGCTCTATTAGTCTACACAAAAACAGGCTCAGATTACTGTCACCTCCTCCCTGTTCCCATCCCACCTGTTTGGCTCATCTGCCTTGTTCTGCCTCATCTTAGGACTTGTCATTAGTCTGCCTTGCAGAAACTTTTTCACCAGCTATGTATGTATGTATATATATAGTACCTACCATGATGGAGCCTGAAGCCTTGGCTGAAGAGTGTGGGCACAATTCCAATACAGATAATAATGCTAATATTGCAAGGCTGTTTCTCACACATATCCTCTAGACAAGAAGCTCTGCCACAGGAACAGCTCCCTCTCATCTTATAAGATATTACTTTTAACAGAAGATAGTTAGATTTAAAAAAAAAATCAGTATAACATAGATTTCACCCAATCTTTCAGTAATGAACAGAAAAAAAAACCAAACAGAATACCATGAGGTGCTCAGATGTGACTTTGTACTGTGGTTTTGTGCCCTCAATGCTGTAGGGGCCCATCCCTCAATGATAAGACACATTCTGCATTTTTGTTGTAGAATTCTTTAATTTTCTTCACACAGAAGAATCCTAGTTTTTGTGCCTAAAATACTAAAGACTTTCAATGAGCTCTGCTACTGTAAATCAGCATAGCTCTTGTTACTGCTAGAGAGGTATGCTAATTTATATCTACTTAGTAATAGACTGAGGTGGATTTTTTTTTACTGAAAATACAGATTACAGTAGTACATATCCCATTATGATGAGCATTTTATAGGTACACAGTGAGGAGATTTTCTCCACTGCAAGAAGAGCTGTCTCTGCAAATACACAGCAATAGCTGTGGTGTTCTATTCTGAAATAAATTTGACTGAAGGACTTCAATTACTTAAGAAAAAGGAAAAAATATTCCTTATGATGAGTAAGTATCATAACGGGTGCTAAAATAATGCCATACATCTACTTCATTATTCGCTTACTTATTATCTTTATTCTTAAGAGTAATGATGTAAAAGTGCTTTTTCCAAATGTTAAATTAGTTCTCTGCAGATGGTAACCATCTGTTAAATGACAAGTCATTTACAGTATTTGATTAGTACTTTATATAGCTTGCATGGACTTACTGTTACAATATCTAAGTATAGTTATGGAGGTGAAACTTGTTAGGTTTGTTCTTTTCCTGTTGCTGTTACCAAAAAAAATTGAAAATTTCAAACCTATCAAGATTTTTGCCTGTCTTCTCCTATATTTATACATCTTATTTCAAGTTAAAGCCTGATGTTTGTAGGCCAGTTCACAAGATATTCTTGAGAGAATGACAAATTTCTTCAAATTATTCTGCTAATTTGCTGGCCATGTTTTCCCTGTTTTAAAATTACTTTACACTTTTATTTCTGGGTTTTTAATACAATTCATTAAGTATTTTGATTTGTGTTTTTTATTTTCAACAGCAAAACAGATAATGGCCCCCCTACCCAATGCTGAATTAGTTCAGAACTCTCTGCAGTTATATCGTTACCTGCTTCGATGCTGTAAGCAGCTTCCTGAAGAGAATATTCGTCAGCATTACAGACATGCAGTCAGGCAGGTGAGAAACACATTTATTTCCTGTTGATGGCATTCAGTGTTGGGGGTTTTTTAGCTTTGTTTTTCTCCTCCTACAGTTTGGCCCAACTTTTTATAATTTCTGGCACTTAAATTATTCTCCTGCAAGTTTGAGACATGAGTGGATTTGAAGGATTATATTGGGAGCATGTGAAGGAGCATTTATTTTTGTTTGCTTTGAATCTGAAACCTTCTGTTTTCCTTGGCTTTCATCTCTAGTTCTTGTGTTAGTCAAGAGAGTGAACAATCATTCCTTACTCACCTAAACACATTTTTTATGGTGAAACTTACTGGTTCCTTGTAGGTGATTTATTAAATATATATATATATATATACACACACCCCAGCTGGCTAAATCTAATCTAATTGTTCATGTGGAAGTAATTGAATGCCTTTGATCATTCCTGTTGTCCTGTGTCTTTCTAGTTTTAATGTACCAGACAGTTTCCGTTGTTCTGAATTGAAGTTATCTGGATTTTTTTGCTGGTGATGTATGAAAGGGGTAAAATACTTAATATGAAATTACATTTGGCAGGGCTTGTTATGGAACTAGCACAGCCAGGTGCTACAATGTATATTTTTACCTTTTCAGATGAACAGTTTGCATCAAATATTTGCTTTGAGATTTAAACATGATCCTTATTTTGACAACTGTTACATTAAGTTGGCTACTCAGTGTAACGCCTGATTGAATGTTGCAGAGTTTCAAAGTTCACGCTGATGAAGACAGTCCTGAGCGAATCCAGCAAATTATCAAGAGAGCCATTGAAGATGCTGACTGGGTCATGAATAAAGTAAGTGCATCAGATTGTGCATCAGTTCAAATAAAAGAAGAAAACATCATAAAGCAAGTTAGGAACAGCAAACTGTTCCATAGTCCTGAGCATTGACGTGTCAGGGGAAAGGAAGTACCCAGCCACCAGGGATTTACGATTCACATTTAAAAATTCTTCTTTGTCAATATAATCTTAAGTGTGTTTTTTAGAATTGATGCTTTAAGTTGGTCTCTGTATAAATCTTTGTTTCCATGAAGAATTCTAAATTTCAGCAATGGTGGCTATTATAATCCTATTACAGGAAAAAAACCCTACGGTGTTTTGCAAGCCACAATTTGTTGATATGCACCAGGTGCTTTCCTACCAGGAACCTGTCCTCTCTTAGTCAGTTACATAAACTCCCCCAATGATTTTTTTTTCTCAGTTCTTGCCAGTGGCTGTGCAGATCAGGGTTAGACAACATCGTGGCAAAATCGTGGCAATTGGTTTATTTGTGCCATGGTTATCACCCAGCGGATATGCCGCTTGACTATCACAGCATTGAAAGATACCACTCAAACTGGTTTATTAGATAAAAGAATGAAGATTATTTACTGTCAGACAGCTGAGTCACCTGTACTTCCTTGGATTTAAATCTGGTTGGGGAGTATGATATGTTAACATGGATTTCTCGGAGTATAATGAAACAAGTCAAAAGTTCATCTTCCTCTAAATATCTGTGATTTAATTTACTAAATGACTGTTCTCTCTGCCAGTCCCTGAAATCCCAATGAGAATTGTTACAGGAGCAAGCACAGATTAGTCATAGATTATAAAATTATAGCAGTAGCCAAATCCCAGCAGTTACAGCCTAGTAAATAACTGCCTGTGCCTGAGTCTGATTTTATTCTCCCTACAATTATGAAAAGCCTCATTCTGATTCTGCTATCGAGATTGTAGTCTGCTTCACTGGAAAACTAGTGATTGAGCTGTGTGAGAGGAGGATCTGATTCACAGTGCCTGCCAAGAAGCATTGTTTTATATTGTAGAGGGAAAGGCTGTCAAATTTCAATCTAACTTAAAGGAAACTGAGATAATTTTATGTAGATCATGAAGGGAGTTGTAAATCTTTGTCAGTATGAACTGTTACTTTTAGTTATGGGGTTGTTCCCACAAATTATTTCTTTTTTCTTTTTTCAGTATAAAAACCAGCAGAAGTAGAAGAGGAATGATGAAGACAAGAATGTCATTGGTAAACATCCTTAGAGGACTTGCAGTCAAGTCCAGTGCTATATTATAGTTATTGTCTGGAGTTTTCTCTTTAATATAAATCCAATAATTTATATTTCCTTGGGATGTCATGAAGCTAAGTTAATAATTCTAAGGCTATTTGAATCTGTGGATTAAAAGACTCAGTCTAGCTTCAAAATATTGGCTTGTATAATCACAAACTTTAGTTTAAAGCCCAAACTTGTGTAAGCTTTGAGTAACACAGAGAGCTTTTCAGGAAAACTTACTGAGAGTAAAAATATAGTGGAGTACAAGTTGTTAACAAATAATAAATAGCCCCCTGTCTGTCATTCACATCTGATGAATTACAGCATCTCATCTGAAAGAACTTCACTAGTATTGGAGCATAAACATCTATACTGGGAGCCTGCAAACCTGAGAAATACTCATTGAGGATCAGAGTGAATTTCTCTTTACTTGATTGTGAACTATTTAATGATAAGTGCCAATCACCCTAATCGCTAAAAGCTTATGAAAATGGACACCGTTCAGGTGGGTTTTGTGCACGGAATGGTACCATCACTGACATGTGCAACGTTGTACAGACATAAAGGCCTTCACAACTTCTTACAACCAGTAATAAATGTCCTTGAAAAATGGGAGTCCATGTCCTTTTTAAAAAGACCATCTTTTCACTGCCCTAATGACTTTTCATCAGGTAAAACTCAATAAAAATACTAGCTATCTTAAATAAAATTAATGTAGGGGTAAAAGAGTTTCCTTTTGAAGCATGACCTTTGCTTTTAGCTGTGCTTGGCGCTTTGCGCCTGCAGGTGGCAGCGCATGCTGCGGGCGGATCCGAAAGCCCAGTATTTGGGGCTTGCGTTTGTTTTTACTGTCTGCAAATTGTTGAGCTTCCTCACCTGCCACAATAGAACTCCAGCGCCAAGGCAGGTCTCTTTTAGGCTTTAGATTTTTTTTTTTCTCCATTCAGTCATGAAAGAAACAAAACGAAAATCCTAGCTCAAAGTCGTCAAGAAGATTTTGACAAGCACTATAAAGAAATGGGGGCCATCAGTGAATGTTTATACCATGAAGTATTGCACCAAAAAATTTCTTTTGTCTCTGCTAACCCTAAACCCTCCTCTTCAAAAATTCCTGCCCTCTGTTAGTCTTTTCTCTGCCATTGCCACTGTTGTTCCTCTCTCTACTCCTACATCTTTCACATCACCTTATCCACCCTCAGCTTTTGTTGTTCTTCTACATATTCCTGAATTCTCTTCTCTCTCATCCTGTCTCTCTACCCCATTTCTTTCTCCTCAAATTCTGTTCTGACAGGTGCATCAGAAGATACTCAGGTATTACGCTGGGGGTATCCTTCTGCTTAATTTTAGATAAAGCACAAAGGTAATAGAGTTTCTCAACAAAGTAGGTGTAAGTTTTTCATTGTCATGTGAGGAAAGCCACTTGTCTTTCTACTGATTTTTTTTTTTTTTTTAAGTGCAACCATTCTGGTTTAAACTTTCAAAATAATTTGATACAAGGTAGAGCACAGAAAACTTCAACGTTGTCAGTTGACAAGGAATATCCAGTATGAAACTGAGCACAGTAATAAAAAAGCTCAAGCAGATTAGATAGTGGATATCTAAATGTGCTACTTTAATCAAGAACAGCAAAGAGATGACTGCACTTATATACAGTATTTGGTCTGTAGCATGGAGATGCTCTGCAACTTGTATCAGTGCAATACTGAAAACTAAGACTCACTAGGGTTATCAGTGTATGGAAACATATTGTTTTCCTGAACTTTACATGTAGTGTACTAAACAACCCTCTATTGCTTTAATTATCTGGCTTTTTGCAGTGTGAAATATAATATTTTGTTCAATTACTAAATAGGATAATTGCATTTGTCTAAATCTTTCTTACATGCCTGTTATTTAATTTATGGATAGTTCAAGAGGGAAAGCAGCAAGGAGCTGGAAGGTGCAACCGCGGCATGTCTGCAGCTCCAAATGTCTGAGGTGACAGCTGAGATATAGGAACATCAGATCAAAGGTATGAGAGATATAACTGATATTGTAGGGCCAGGATCTGTGAGTTTTAGATCTTAGAAACTGGTAGAGCAATGCAGTTCTTAACAGGGTGCAGAGGGGGAACATGTTTGCTAAGGCAAGAGACATCATGACTAAATATTTTGACAGTAGTGATTCAGTTGTAGGGCATGATGAGATGTCTGAGTTTGGTTGGGTTTTTTTTCTCCCCATACAAACATAATCTGTTTTTCAAAATAACAAACCTTTTAACAGAATGGAAATATAATGTGAAGATAATTTTATTTACTCTGTTACAGAAAAAATAATTTTCCTGGTGGTGGGGAGACATGATGCAAACTATTTACTTCCTTGTAATAGTGAAAGTAACCCCAATGTCCAAGACAGACGTGTTGTTCTGATGACTAGGCTGAAGAGTCATTCAGCTGCATAGCTGAGGCTTTTATGTTTTCAAGAGATTATACAAATTCTGTTCTTCAGCAGTATAATTTGAAACCAAAGATGTTATCTTAGCCTAGATGAGAACCTGAACTCTGAAAAGGGATTTGGGCAGAGCTTCAATACTTTTGACCAAAATTATTATCCAGAAGACTTCTGCTCAGAAGTAATTTAATCCTGGACTTGCTCTAATTTACCACTCACTGACCTGTTTGACCTGAGAGGTTATAGAGTAAATTGAGTTCTCTTCATTAGAATCCAGGGTGACCTTCAAGCAAATCTCTGCCACTCAGCCTTGCTGAGGCTGAAGAACTGTTCTCTGGTACCACCAATGTCTTCATTTGGTGTTAATGCCAGTGTGCTAATGATTAGCTGCCAGTGGCTCTAACAGGGCCTGCTGTGGGAAAG